ATGATCTCCCATTTCATGGGTTCAAGCCCCACATCGTCGGGCTCTGCTCCAACAGCTCAGAGCCTGGAGCCTGCTTCAGATTCTGTGTTTCCCTCTCTCTCTCTCTCTCTCTCTCTCTCTGCCCCTCCTCCACTCACACTCTGTCTCTGTGTCTCTCAAAAAATAAATAAATATTAAAATTTTTAAAAATAATGAAATAAAATAAAATTCAGTTCAGTGATATGGGTAGCGCTAGATTTCACTTTGGTCTACATACAAATTTATATATAATAGGTTTTGCTTCACAATCTGGAGACAGTGAATGTAATTTATTCAAATTATAGTAGCGCATAAGTTACATTGAATTCAAGTAGTGAAGATATTACATAATTTCTACTTGCTTAGTGATAAAAAGGTTCAGTCATTTTCATTACAGTATTTGCAAACGTGTCTAGAACTTTACATCTCGAGGAAGCATGGGTGTGGCTGTAATGACAATGAGCTTCCAGAATGAAAAGAAATGAGAGGCAAGGGAAGAACGCACCATCTGTCTTCACCGACACTTCCCAGGGTACGCATTGTGACACAATGCATGTAGAACAGTGCTAAACTGTATGCCTTTAGTAAAAGGGAAATGTGTTGTGGGGCCACTGCCGAGTGCTTCAGAGCTAACTGCCTTTGTGGACAGTAATGCTCACTCCTACAGTGATCTCTCATTTCATTTCTACTGTGCCTGTATATGCTTGCTGTTATTTAAAACAAAAATTAAGTCTAGCTGACTTCCAAAGTGGGCTGTTAGTGACATAATTCAAGCCAGGAGAAAAGAACCCTCTAAGTTTCTTCCCTATCCTTGGCAAGGCTTGGGAAGGGAGGGAATATGCAGAGACCCAGAGTCAAAGGCCCACTGAGGAGAGGCTCAGAGCAGAGTTGGGAAAGGGGTGCAGAGGCTCTCTGCAAAAACGAGGTGGGAGGAATGTTTTGCAGTTGTTGGGAGAGAAGGTCAAGGAAAAGAACAAGAAGGCTGGACTTGAAATGTCAAAATTCCCCATAGGGATGTTTCACAATGGAGAAGTTTAATGTTCAATTTTACATTGTTTTTTGACATTTTCCCCTCTCCCCTACCCCCAAGGTCTGATTGGCCAGTTCTCAGCCAAGTTGGCTTCACACACATTACCTTGTGCCAGTGCTTTTTTGTGGATACCTAGGGAAATGGATGAGCGTTTGGAGTCCATGTCGAGCAGAGAGGAGGGAACCGCTATAGGAGGTGGGCTGTCGGGCAGACCAGGAATGGCAAGAGCAAAAAGTCAGAGCCTGACCACCTGCAAGGATGAAATCCTCAGGAATGGGCAGAAGCCTCGCGGAAGAGGTGGGATGGGGCTGAAGGAGACATGAGCCGCTCGGATTTTAAGAAACAATGTCTTTAGGGCGCCTGGGTGGCTTAGTCGGTTAAGCGTCCGACTTTCGCTTAGGTCATGATCTCGCGGTTCGTGGGTTCGAGCCCCGCGTCGGGCTCTGTGCTGACTGCCAGCTCAGAGCCTGGAGCCTGTTTCAATCTGTGACTCCCTCTCTCTCTGACCCTCCCCTGCTCACGCTGTCTCTCTCTCTCTCTCCTAGAAATAAATAAAACGTTAAAAAAAAAATTAAAAAAAAAAAAAAGAAACAATGTCTTTAATTCTGTCATAAGTGGCCTTGATGCCATTGGGGTAAAGATACTTTAAGTGAAATTGTTTCTTCCACTTGAAATAAGGGCCTGGATAATTTTAGAATCACCTTGTAATCTCAGGAAACTATGTATTTTGAATATTGGTACAATTATTTACATTTTACACATTATTTTATGTAATTACTTTTTAAACTTTTTTATTATTGGATACAAAAGTAGACTTTTCACATTTCTAACTATAACTGTGAGAAATTAGCACGATCTCTTGTCTCACCGTGAATTTTTTCTTTTTAATTTAATTTATTTTTTTAAAATTTATATCCAAGTTAGTTAGCATATAGTGCAACAATGATTTCAGGAGTAGATTCCTTAATGCCCCTTACCCATTCAGCCCCTACCCCCTCCCACAACCCCTCCAGTAACCCTCTGTTTGTTCTCCACATTTAAGAGTCTCTTATTTATTGTCCCCCTCCCTGTTTTTATATAATTTTTGCATTCCTTCCGTTATATTCATCTGTTTTTTATCTTAAAGTCCTCATATGAGTGAAGCCATCATTTTTCTGCTAGGGGTGTTGATAAGGAAATGCTATTGGACAACATATTGGCCTTTGTATCTTTTTAATGTTTTTATTTATTTTTGAGAGAGAGAGAGAGAGGAAGAGAGGGAGAGAGAGAAAGAGTGCAAGCAGGGGAGGGGGGAGGGGGGCAGACAGAGAATCCAGAGCAGGCACTGTGCGGAGAGCAGACAGCCAAATGTGGGGCTCAAACTCACCAACCATGAGCTCATGACCTGAGCTGGAGTTGGCCGCTTAACTGACTATTTTTTTAAAGGACATTTATTATTTTTAAAAACCAAAAATATACTTAGAGAAGTGTGAATTATGCTTTCACACTAACATGCTTTTCAAAATCCAGATTAATGTAAGACACCTAGAATAGTGAATGTGTGAAGCTACTAAGGATTGTCTATACCTTAAACAAAATATCTCTGTAAATATATCCCACTAGTTTTAAGAAATGATATTTATTTTTTTCAAGATTGTAGAAATATTTAATTCTACTGACCTACACTTAGGATGTAAAAACTTTCAAATACAGAGGTTCTTTGAAAACTCATTTATTTCAATGAGTACAATCCAAGAATTCATGCATCATACATGCAACAAATATTCTATAAGTAATTGCTCAAATTCAGGCTTGGCCAAACTCAAATTGCACCGACTTTAATAACTGGTCACAGTATAGCCAATGAGAGACTGAAATGGGATCAAACTGACACCTGTCTACTATGCACCAGGCAACCATTCAGTAAAAATCTGCTGATTTGGCAAGGGCTTTAGTTCATGAAGTTCATGTCTTACTACTACTGCCCTAATCAGTTGAGACAGAATTAGCACTAGCTAAATCGTCTGTGTGCTGCCTGGAGGGGTTTGTTGAGGGTAAGAGTCTGAAGATAGAGATTAAGGAATCCTCATCCTCCTAAAGTGCTGGGCATCCAGGATTAGAGCTCTGGGTCAGAGAAATCCACCCTGAATGCAAACCGAAGCACCGGTACACTCCGCACTTGGGATTACCAGACTCCCTGTGTCTAAAATGGATATCCCAGCCTGCATTTCGACTCAAGAGCATTTCATTCGCCATGCCAAAGTGCCCTTGGTTCACTTCATTTGTCTAGGTGTTTCTAAAATAAAAGAGGATGCCCTGAAAATGTGAACATTGGTATTTAAAGACTCATGGGTTGATCCTATGTTTCCCCAAATGGTGAGTTTATAGAAACCTAGATTTGGAGCTCAGGCATCTACCTTGCTGATGAAGGTAAAGATCTGGCTAACCCCAGAATGCTTCCTTGGAAGTCTCCTGATAGTCTTTGCTTTGAAATATAATTTGATTTAGAGCCATGAAACTGTTCTGTGTGACTATAGTGGTAGATGCATGGCATTTTATGTTTCTCAAAACGCATGGAATGTACCACACTAAGAGTGAGCACGAAGGTAAACTGTGCACTTTGGGTGATAGTGATGTGTCAGTATAGGTTCCCTGATGTACCACATTCACAAATGTACCGCTCTGGTGCCAGATATTGACAGTGAGGAAGCTCCACATGTGGGGGTGGGGGAGTTATATGGGAACTCTCTGTACTGTCTACTCAATTTTGCTGTGAACCTAAAACTGCACTAAAAATAAAGTCTATTAAAAAATAGACTATATAAAAATTTGGGGCATTCAAAATAAAACAACGGAACATACAAAAGATGTCTTGGTCCATTCGGGTTCCTAAAACAGAACACGGTAGTCTGGGTGGCTTATAAATGCAGACATGTATTTCTTATAATTCTGGAGGCAGAGTCCAAGGTGAAAGACCCAGCAGCTTCAACAGATGCGGTCCAGTGAAGACCTGCTTCCTGGTTCACAACTGACCACTTTCTTGCTGTGCCCTCACAAGGCAGAAGGGGCTAGGGAGCTCTTTGGTATCTCTTTTCTTTCTTTTTTTATTTTTCTAAAGTTTATTTATTTATTTTGAGAGAGAGAGCAGGGGAGGGGCAGAGAGAGGGAGAGAAAGAGAATCCCAAGCAGGCTCTGCACCATTAGCACAGAGCCCAACATGGGGCTCAAACCCGTGAACCATGAGTTCATGACCTGAGCCTAAACCAGGTGCCCCTCTCTAGTGTCTCTTTTCTGTGGGCACTAATCCCATTCATGAGGGGTCTACCTCATAATATAATCACCTCCCAAAGATTTCCATCCTAATACCATCCCATGGGGGATTAGGTTTCAACATATGAATAGGAGATGGCATAAAAATTCAGTCTATAGAGCACTAGGCAATCATATTTTTAAAAGAAAATGTGGGCACCAATCGATATGATGGTGGTAAGTTAAAAAGCACTTGCATACAAGTATGAGGATGGAAAGAAACTAGGGAAGCCAAGTGGAGCCCAGAACCATAACACTGAGATGCGGCAGATGTCATGGACTCCTCCTTCCTGGGGACCTTCATGGCATACATAGAGATACTTCTCTAGACCTTGGAAATAAGCTTTCATTTTAGGGACAAACTTGGAGGGTTGATTAAAAACTAATAAACTACTATATCAGATGTGTAACAAAATTTTATAGGTCACATTCAATCTCCTTGGTATTGCAAAAAGGAAAAAAAACAAGACCCAGGAACCGTAGGGTCCAGAATAGTTATGTTACCAAGAAGGGCTTTAAATCAGATTTGAATTAGATGAGACTTGTCTTTGATGCCTCATTTCTTCATCTCTGTTAACCTGATAGCCTTGAGTTCCCTGCTTACTTCACTAAATGCATGACTAACAGTGAAAAAAAAAAAAATCCTGCTGTGTTGTTGCAGACGATGGACCCTACAGAAGCTCGTAGAAGTATTCCTCTGCCTGGTGAACCTGGTACTCCAGAAGACAGGCATTTGTGTGAGCTATCTCCTGGAATGACATTAGAAGGTAATCACATTGCCTCAACAGCACTAGACACCGTGCTGCTCTGCTCCATATCCCCGTGGCCCCCTTCCGAGTTCACCTTCAACCGCGGGGATCCTTCCCCATCTCAAGCACCGGTCCCTCTCAGCTTCTCAGTCTGAAGTCTCCCTCCCACATCATAGGACAGGAGCTCATCACATCTAGATCAGGCACAATCCAGTGGCTATTTACCCAGCTCTCTGGCTTTCATTGCAACAAATCCTGGGGTGTGTTCCACAAGGTGTCTTACAGGGTCCCCAGCAGGGGTGAGCCCCCGGTGCCCACAGTAGTAATCCACACATTAACTCTCCCTTTATCGGCTTTTCCCTTCCTGATGTCACTCCCCCTCCCTCATGTGAGCTCTAGGGACCACTAGCTGCACGCAAGGTCTTGTCTTAGGCCTTCGTAGGGGGAATGTCAAACTAAGACAGTCTCATCTGTTTTTGGTGACTCATTTGTATGGCATTTCCTTCAGGTGACATGTGTGAGGAAGAGGGGTGGTCCAACATGCAGGCAATCCTTGCTCTGGAGGGACGCCGCACCTCTCCCTTTCCTCCTTCTTTTTCCTCCTCCTTCCTCCTGATTTCGTCTCCAGCATCACATAAAACGCAAGATACACACTGTAGTTTGTGATTTTAAAGGTCCTATCTCATTCGTGGGTAAGTTCAAACTTCTGCCAGAGATGGTCATTTTATGACACAAATGAAGGTTCAGTAACACCCAGTTGTACCCCACATTGTTTGTTCGGTTGTGTAATGGACTAGGGGGAGGAAGGGGTTGTGCAGCCGATCTCACGAGGAGGGCCTGAGATGTCAAGGCACCACAGTGTCCTTGCAGAATTGCAAGCCCATGTCTGACATATACTCAGCCTGTGTTCTTTGTTGGCATTCTTACCGCGGCTGGCAGGCACCTGGCAGATATTTTTATTTTAATCCTGACTGGTCGGTCACTAGAGTCTCTGAGGCCACTATCCGAGAGGAGGCTATACTGACCTCACAGAAATACAGTGAAAATAAATCAACATAAAGACATGTTTTACATATACGAATGGCAAAGCCAATGTTAGGTGAGCTGTGGACTTGATTATTAAGTTTCAGTCAGAAAAAGAAGCTAAAGAAGTGATTGCTTATTTAAATACCATTGTATTTTTAGTTTTTGATCCATATGAATGTATTAACTTTTAACAATTAAATCAAATATACATACAAGAAAGGAAAAAAGAAAGATCATTACTTTGAAAAGAAGAATACTTTCTTCCTAATTTCCTTATTTTTCAAGTTTATTTATTTTGAGAGAGAGCTCACACAAGTAGTGGAGGGGTAGAGAGAGAGGAAGAGAGAGAGAATCCCAAGCAGGCTCGGCACGGGCAATGCAGAGCCTGATGGGGGAAGCCCCAAGATCGTGACCTGAATTGAAGTCAGATGCTTAACTGACTGAGCCACCAGTGTCCCTCCTAGTTTCCTTTTTTAAAAAACACAGTTGTAGGTATCTGGGTGCCTGGGTGGTTCTGGCAGTTAAGTATCTGACTCTTGATTTTGGCTCAGGTAATGATCTCACAGTTTGTGGGATGTAGCCCCACTTCATCCCTGCTTGGGATTCTCTCTCTCTCTCTTTCTCTCAAAATAAATGAAATAAAATAAAATATTTTTTAAAATCCTGTAAGTATTGTGAATTTTTTAAGTGACAATTGAGGATGAAGGAGAAGCTAAAATAATCTGTTTGACTAGTACTTGTTTAATATTTAAGATTATTCAAAGGACATTAATAATTAATAAGACGATGTAAAACAAAACATTATCCTTTTAACAATGGTCCCTTTTACTGGTCACTAGGTTCTTCAGATAAAGTTATGAGTCCTATGTTTATGTACATTTGGATATAACTTGCTCACTTGTTCTAATTAAACACAGTCCTAGACTGTATCTACTCTAGCTAGATATGTTTTTAGCCATTAAGATTTCCCCCTTTTCTGTTTTAATCTTAAGAATTAAAAAGGAAGATTTTTCTAAAGATTGAAAGTATGGGAAATATATACATTTGTACCTCTGGAAATATAAAAATCAAAATAAGTTGTAAGAAAGGAGGTTGGTATTTCTGGAATCTTGCAAGGCTGGTTTAATTTTATTATTACTTGTAATATGGTATGGTATTTTCTGTGAACTCATCAACGAATTCCAAGGACAAACTGATAAATCACTAAGTTCTGCAGTTGAATCTAGGTGCCTGCAATGAAGGGGTTTTTGTGTAACTGAAAGCTTGGTATAATTAGTCTCCGTGCCGGGAAAATACAAAAGGTATACATTGTGTTCAAGAAAAATTCAAATAGTTCACTAAAAGGGTAGCCTTATATGTTTACATATTTATCTGATTCTTTTTAGAACTCCATCAGTGGCGAGAGATATTGATGATAAATCCAATGATGGCCATGCACCCTTTATTGACAGCACCAGGACAGCAGAGAATGCCACTGGTCCCGTCACCATTTGAACCTCCAGCGGTGGATAGGTATTTCTTTCCAATATACCATTCTGGTTGAAGGGGAAAATGGATGATCATTAACTTTTCAAATGATGGTGTCTTCAGTGTTGTTTTCTTGTCTAATGTCTCTTCAGTGAACTGTGGTGCGCTAATTCACACCAAGATGCTCTGCTGGCCACACCTTCAACACATTGCCCATCATTTCCCATCTGAGACCTGCTTGACACCCTCAACACATAGCTAACAAGCACTTACTATGGGACAGGCATCATGCAGACATAGACACTGATGTATTCTGCAAGGGCTACCCTAGCAAAATACCACAGACTGCATGGATTAAACAAGGGAATTTCATTTCTCTTAGTTCTGGAGGCTGAAAAGCCACAGATCATGGTGTCAGCAGGAGTGATTTGTGATGAGGCTTCCTCTCCTTGGCTTGCAGACAGTTGCCTTCTCACTGTGCCCTCACCTGGCTTTTTTCTCTGTGCATACAATCCTGCTTCCTCTTTCTCTTTGTCTCATAAGGACACCAGTCCTATCAGATTAGGGCTCCCCTGTTATGGCCACATTTAACCTTACATCCCCCCTGAAAAGCTTTATCTCCAAATATAGTCACAGTGGGGGTTCAGGCTTCAACCCATGAATTTGGGAGGAACACAACACACTCAGTAACAGTAAAGTACCCTGGTTTTCCCATGATAGAACAATTCTTTCTTTCAATAAAAATGACATTATCAGGACTTAGGTTGTACATTCTGGCAGTTTCTTATTTTCCCCTCATTAGAATATTTTGAGATTCTGAGTAGAAAGTAATATCCCTTATTTATTGTTGCTTGTGGAGTGTGAACAATAAATTTTGACTTCTTAAGACCATTGAAGTTGATAAACTGTCCACTTACATAGTCAAACACTGATCCCAGATGGCAAAACCCAAGGCAAAGTATGTCCATTACACGAGAAAAGAATGCTGTGGTCAGAACAGTATGTTGGTCATGCGAAATCAGAGAGCAGTATTGATTTGATTAGATTTTTTTCCAAACATTTCTAAAACTTTTTTTTCTTGTTGTTTCTGTTGTGTTGTCAGCTAGGTCAATCCTTCCTTAGTAGGTCTTTCTTACAACATTTCTACTGAAACCAACAGAGGCTGCAGGATTTTTGCACCTTATTTTGGGGAGAGATGATAGAATTTCATCTGGCAATTAGAAAATCTCACTGCCTATGCAATGGAAAATTTGTACAGTTCCATCCTCATTTTATCTATTTTATATCTTTCTCCCCCTAGAGATTTATTGTCTTCCACTCTAGCTCCTGCTGACCCAAGACAGTTTTGTGTTCCTTCTCAATTTGGATCCTCTGTTCTACCAAACGCAAATATGCCGAACATGCTATCCAATCGCGTCTACTCAGGTATGAGCGATAAATGGCTCCGGTCTGTGGAGCCACTGTGAACTGGATGGCTGCATTAATTCACCATCATGCCATCAAATTTACTGCTAAGTTTTGGCAGAGCTGTATGGCAGGTGTGCTTATAAGTTCTGCACTTGCTACCTAGGTTTCAGTCATGATTCCACCACTATGTGACCAAGTGTAAGTTGCTTAATGCCTCCAACTGTCAATTTACTGAGGAATACCATGAAAAGTTGCAGTATTGCAGTCTGTCTTATCTTACACGTGAGAAACTAATGGGGTCATGAGGAGATGAGATTTGAGAGTTAAAGAGGTTTGGGGCTGTTTATCTATGGCCTGATAGGTCAGAGTGGAGGCTTGCCTCTTATTCTGAGTAGGAGGGGAAGATTTTCAGGAATTTGAGCAAAGGAGTGATGTGGTCTGACTTACATTTTACTAGGATCACTCTGACTTCTGTGTTCGAGACAAATTGGTAGAATCAAAGCTCTGAGGATAAACTGATGGGAGTTAATGGGCTATTAGAATAGCCAAAAGATAATGATGGGTTGGTCCTGGGTGGTGACAGTTCCATAGTAACATGTGGTTGGATTCTGTAATTTTTTTGAAGATAGAAATAACAGATTTTCTCACTGTTTAGATATGAGCTGTGTGAGAGAGTGATCTTAAGGAGGACAGCAAAATTTTGGTCCGAGCAAAGGAGAGATAAAGTTGCTGTTCACTGTTGCAGAGGAGTGTGAGGGGAACAGAGTTCTTGGGGCAGGAGAGATGTCATGGGCTCAGTTTTGCTCCTGTTATGTTTGAGGTACCTAACAGATGATCAGTGGGAGATGTCAGGAAGGCAGCTAAAGTGCAGAGAGGACTTCTGGAGACAGCTTGGACATATAATTTTGAAAATCATCAGCATAGATGAGACTAAATGAAATCACCTATGGAATGTGTGTTGATAGAGGTTAAAAGGATGATATCTAGGACACATCAACAAGGTCCAGAAGATGAAAAGGAACAAAAAGGGAGAAACAGGAGGAGAAAACAGTAAAGTAGGAGGAAAGCCAGGAGGGCCTGGTGGCCTTGAAGGCGAGGGAAGAAGTTTTAAAGACAAGAGTGAACATCTGTGTCAAGTACGCCACTCATAGATGAAGTAGATGAAATCCAAGAATATATGATTAGATTTAGCAGAGTGGAGCTCATCGTCAATCTTGATAAGAGCAGTTTCAGTAGAAGGATATCAGTGAAAACATGACTGGTGGAAGCTCAAGAGAGATTAAGAAGAGAGACTTTCCTCATGATATAGAAGATCAAATATATGTATCTTATCGGCCCAAAACTGTATTCGTGAGTTTCTGTTTGTCTCTGCTCTCTAATTCCAACAGCTCTCAATAGATAAGAACAAATAGGAGTGAAAAGCTTGGCACAAGAAGAAATATGATTGTGCCAGGGCCAGTGGAGACACCAGCCTGCCTGGATTTGAGCATGTTGTGCCTGGATCCAGTGCAAAGGGATCGGGCATAGAAGTCAGGGCCAGATATGAAACTGGACACACCCACTAGAGTGTTCCAAGGAGCAGGAAGACTGTCCCAAAGGCTAATCCTGGATGAAAACCCCATCTGGCATCAAGAACCCAACAAATCTATAGCCCATGGTTACAGGCAACACATAAATAGACCAGTTAATAGTTGCATTGCTGACTCAGAGAACCCGTCTTAGTGATAAAGAATCTGGAAGCTGCCAATATTTGGATACAAGCAAGCAAGTTAACCACCTGTCTCAGGGGCATAGATCTGGTCTCCTGCCTCAAGACTGATATGTAGGAGAGTAAACAAGGGCAAAGTAGGGGCTCAGGCCTACAGAAACTGAGCTACTAAGTAAGTTAGCAAAATAGAAACAAAGACACAAATCCATTTCAAAATCTGGATATTAGGTAGAGAGTGGGCTATTACAGCTGGACTAGCATTAAGTTTGATGTCATCTATTTGGGAAAGAGAAAGAAACTTGGAATAGGTTTGTGGGGACTCCAGATTTCAGAGGCTCCTAAAATCCAGGTAATTAAAATTGTGCTTTCTATACTGGACTTCTCATGAGAACTTTCTCTGCATCCTTTTACAGTCAGTACTTCATGGGTTGATAGTTCCATGCATGCTGGCTCTCTAGAGAAGAATATTTTGAAGCCACTGAATTATAAAAAATATCTGAAGCTTTAGTGTTAGGAGGATTTTAGATGTCACCTCATCAATCTCTGAATTTTACAAATGATAATCTCCCTAAAAAAAGATAGAGCATTATTTATTTTAAGATGAGTTATTAATAGGAGTTAAATGAGCTCTTCTAGCTTAATACAAAGCGTTTACAAGAAGCAGTTCTAGCTCTCATGCTACTGGCCCCCATTTTAGGGAGACAGATTTTCACATGGAAAACTATCAGTGAACAAAACGACATAAAATAAGTACAACTTGAGTGTCTCTTGTTGTTAAAGTATGTTCTGTAGACCTGTGCTGGTCTGTGAAGAAGTCGTGCAAATAAATGCGTAAATAGAGAAACTTTTGCAGCCATATGACAGGGTAATTCTATGTCCATTAATCTGATCATTTTTTACATTATACTTGTATTTGTCCTTGTTTTCATTTCAATTTTGTAAAAGTGTGTTTTATTGTATTCTTAAAAACGTATTGGTCCATGATGGGTGGAAATTTTAAAAGAAAAAAAATGGTCCTTTACCATAGATGGTTTAAAAGTATTGGTATAGATTCTAAATGCATTAGGAGAACAGAGAAAGAAAAGAAATCAATACAGCATAAAGTTACCAGGCAAGAATAGAGCCTTGAATTCTCTAATGCTGCTGTTATTTCAAGGCACGTTAGAAGATTGACACAAAAAGGGGTGCCTGGGTGGCTCAGTCGGTTAAGCAACTTTGGCTCAGGTCATGATCTTGCAGTTCATGGGTTCGAGCCCTGCTTCGGGTTCCTTGCTGACAGCTCAGAGCCTGGAGCTTGCTTGGATTCTGTGTCTCCCTCTCTCTTTCTGCTCCTCTCCCAGTCATGCTCTGTTTCTCTCTGTCTCAATAATAAATAAAAACATAAAAAAATTTTTTTAAAAAGAAGACTGACACAAAGAATGTAATTTCTACCCAACTTCATTGAAAATATTTTGGAAAAAGTGTCTTCCTCAGATACCAAAAAGTCCATATAGAAACCTTTCTATTTTATTCATGAAATCATTGCATTTATGTCCAGGGATTTTGGTGCACAAGAGGCACTTAGTTACTTTATTTTAAAAGGTCAGCTGATTTCTCTTGTAGCAGAAAAAAAAGAAGGGAAAGAAAAAAAGTTATCAATTTTTGCTTTAAAAACTAGAAATCAAGAGATCCACAGTTCATTTTTTTTTTTTTTTTTTTTTGCTTTTCAAGTATGGCAGGAAAATGCCACCAATCATGAGATCCATACTTAAAGAAAAATAAAAGTATCTAGTGTTTATCACTCCATCACCGAAGTGGCTCCAAAATGCTGAACAGCAATTATCTGATACTGTTTCTAACATTGTGCTCTACTGGTGGGTTTTTGTGGATGCTGTTTTAAATCATATATTTTATTTTTATTATCTTTAAACGGACATTGTTAATTTGTTTCTGGGATGGGATGGTGGTTTTCTTTTTTAAGGTTGGGGCATTTTACCACCTGAATCCATAAAGGCAATGGCCAGAAGGAATGAAATGATTCAAAGGCAGCATACTGCCAGGTAACATAATAATGTTGTTTTATTTATTTTCTACTCACTCTTCTGTTCTTTGGTTTTAGATGGATAGATAGATAGATAGATAGGTAGATAGGAGATAGATAGAGAGATAAGTAGATAGATCTAGAGATACTTTTTATATATATTCATTCATTATATTTGTTTATTGTGTTATATACATATACAAGCTCTAATTATATTCATATTATATTATATATATGTTTATATATATATGATTACATACAAAAAGCATTTTAGGAATATTACAAAAATAAATATATACAAACATGTATTTTAGTTAAAGATAAAAGTAAGATTAGAAATTACGTAGTGAAGCTACGTCTGTGGATCGTAGTAGTTTAACAATGTCTCACAATTAAAATGCCTAGTTGTGATTCCTCTGAAATTCATATTGGCACTTTTGTTTTAAAAGACTTTGATTCTGCCCAAATATAGGAGCCAAGCTTACCAACCCCATTTCAGACTCTATGAGCAAAACCCAGACAAGCCCCAAGTCAGTGGCCCCCAAAGTGGCCTTCAGCTGTACCAACTAGGAGAAAGAAAAGACAGCAGTAATGACTAGGGCATGGCCCTGGGGTACAAGAAGGCTTCAGACTCAGTTTTCTCATCACTGAACCCTAATGGGTCCAGGTAATAACCAATAATAAAAATAAACTAGCAAAACCCCCAGCAAGTTGCATTCATTTGTAACAGTTGAGACTTGCATTGATCTCTTGCCTTCCTTGAGTCCCACTAAGATTACACTTTGGGGTTTAGAAACCTCTTCCCAGAACTTTTGTTTCTTTGAGGATTAATTCCTGGCAAGAAACTATCCTGTGCTATGTTATTCCCATTCCTGCAAAATTTGCCAGATATATTAGAGGTAATGATTTAAAGACGAGATTTGGGCTTCCACTGTGGGATTTGACCAAACCTTTCATCCTCAGGTCTTTTTCTAAACTTTCCTTCCCAGTGAATTTTTAGGGGAATTTGTGTTTCCACCCAACAAACTTCCGATAAGTAGTGTGAAGTCTCAGGAAAGGCACAGGTTTCATCTCAGGGAATGCAGAGAACCATTAAGATTATATTTCTATCAGTTTCCTTGGAATGTATACAATATATTGTGTTGGTTTTAGGATGGACATGGAAATGCATGCCATTTACCAGCAAAGGAGAGTAGAAAAAGTGAATCCCAAGGGACTAGCAGGGCGAGGGATACCGTTCCTCTGTGGCTCCAGTATCCCACCTGGCCCAGCCAGCTACCATGGCAGGATGCTCCCTGCCAGTGACCTGCATTTCCACAGGAGCACCCTGAGAAACCTTCAGGGAAACCCCACGCTAGTGGCAACTGGTCCACATCTTCTAGAGAGCTGGGGCCAGAAATGTCGTCGTCTCAGGAGAGGTACTGGGAATCAGAAAGTTCTAGACAGTGATACGGAGAGCTCTAAAAGTCAAGTAGAAGAAAAAATCTTAGGCCAGCCTCGTGTGATTCCCTACGAAGAGGATGAATTTGCAAAAGAACCAGAAACCGAAGCTCTCAACAATCAGAAGTCAAGCGAAACCAGCGAAAAGCCAGCTCTTGGCAACACCTGTGGGGAGCTCGAGTCCACCCATAAGAAACCTTGGGGAGCTCATAGTGCTCCCCTAGAAGCAAAGGCCTGGGATGGTGCAAAGGAGAAGACTTCAGAGCAAGGCTTTGCAGCCTGTGGTGAAAAGAATGGCGTTTGCCCTCCAATTCCTCAACCGTCTCTGCCAGGTGGGTGTCCGGGGCCAATGGTAGATTCTAACGAGCCACAGGTCACCCCGTCCTTAAGTTATTACGTAATATACTATTCCCATCCTGTTTCCTTTTATTCTTCTTTTTCTTTTTTTTAAAAGTTTATTTAGTTTTGAGACAGAGAGAGACAGAGCACGAGTGGGAGGGGCAGAGGGAGAAGGAAACACAGAATCCGAAGCAGGCTCCAGGCTCTGAGCTGTCAGCACAGAGCCCAACACAGGGCTCAAACCCACTAACCGAGGGATCATGACCTGAGCTGAAGTCGTTCGCTTAAATGACCGAACCACCCAGGCGCCCCTTATTCTTCTTTTTCTTAATCCTATGTAGGGCTATGTCTTCATGAAGTCCCTTTATTATGTTCGTTCCAGTAAGCCATATTGGTGAAACTTGTCCCTATTTATATATTGTTGTATAGAGAATTCTCAGCCAAAGCTAGGAAGGCAAGAATGAGGAAGGATGGGGAAACCTACCAGAATTTTAAATTAAAATTTTGATTCACTTTGCTGTTCACTCCTTCAAAACAAATCAGAGGGACTTCTTGCTTAAAAGTATGAATTCTATCTCCCCTGTATTTAAGTGCAGGAAACAATAGAACAGTTAAACAAAAGCATTAACTTTCCATGCCCATTACTGTTAGGATACCTTATGACCTAAAAACATTAACACACTATCCTCCCAAACACACACTGAATAGTTTCTAGAACTTTTTTTTTGATTAAACATATTTTAAAACACAGAGATTTGGGGGAGACGGTTGTAATCTAGTCACCAAACCAACTGTTTCCCTCACAAAGTGTTTATTTGCCATTCTGATGAGTACGTGCCTCCATTCTCGTGTCACCTAGAAAGCATGAGAAGTCATGTAACGTCAGAGAGTGTAACAGTGTTCATCTGGAGAATGAAATCCGCAGTGCATGCCTATTAGAATCTGAGAGAAAATGGAGCAGTCTGGAACTTCTTTGTGTATTTACAGTAATGCTGTCATTGAAGATCCTTTAGAGGAAGGAAAGAAAGGAGACTGCTAAACTTTTCCAAAAATGGCTTACACATAGCTGTATATATAAAGGGACCTCTGTGGTAATAGAATATACAGAAATCAATGTAGCTGTATACATAAAACCGTGCTCTGAGTTTCCCCCTTTTCCCTGGAAATTATATAACACAAAATAATTTCCTTTCCATTTTTAAAGGAGCATACCCACTGGTTACAATCCGGGGAAATCTGTCTTTGGATGAAGATATTCAGAAATGGACCGTGAATGATGTGCACAACTTCATAAGTGGCCTTCCAGGTTGTTCAGATTATGCTCAGGTAAGTGAACATTCCAGTGTTTTCATAAAAATAAGGCATTTTGAAATATATTTCCTTCAAAACGAGTCCTGCCAAATTGCATTTTTTTCTCAGAGAAGACTGCTAATAATCTACCCTTTGGTATGTCATCAGCTGACCTGGGACAGGCGCCTCTGATTGCTAAATCTTGGGTCATGTCTCCACACCCCATCTGCAGGGGAGGCTGGGAAAGCCAATGTCTGGCATTAGTTTCTGTTCCATCGAGACTCGTGGGAGATTGGTAAATTTACCCAAAATTAGGAGACTCAGAGGCCAAACATCCAAAAGTAGTGAGAAATGATGAGTACATTCCCTACTCTTGCATATAGCAGACAGTGGGGGGCACGTACTTCTGTACCAGAAGTTTTAGGCTACTCATAATAGGTAATAGAAATATATTCTTTATTCTAAAAAGAATAACAAGCCTATCGATCTGAAAAATAAGGAATTAACTATTTTTAAATTCTATATAATATAGAGGTAATATACAAAAGTGAATACACACATATAACTCAATCTGGCGGATAAAGTACTATTTTTTGAATCACAATGAACCATCAGGACAGTTGGAAAGAAGACTAGTTTTACTCATATGGGAAAACTGGTGACAAAAATGATGGGTTGGCCAGTTTTGGAAGTTTATGTCAGTGCTACATTTTCATACTGAAAGTTTATTTCTTCAAGTGATTTTAATAACATAACTTTAAGCTGCAATTTGCTTACTAAATCTGGTGTCATTGTCTTTGGTTTATATGTTAAAGGGAAAAAATGCAAAGAAAGGACATTATAATTTAACATCATTAACTGATGTTAGAAATAGCTTTTTCAGATCTTGGTTTTGTGATCATTTTTTTCCTTCAGTGTAATGCTGTTAATTCTTCTTTTTATTTTTTTGTTCTGTTTATGGGACTCACAGAAAGGTGGATAGAGTAGTAGTTAAGAGGATGGCTTATGAAACCAGAAAGTACAAATTCAAATCCTGGCTTTTCCGTTTTCTGGACATGTGACCTAGGACTAAAAGGCTTGTCTTCTTAGTGCACAGTTTTTCATCTGTAAAGTGGGGATAATTATATAATACATTCTCGATGGATTGTTGTAAGCAGCAAAGAGGGCTTAGCACCTTATAAGTCCTCGATGAGCGTTAATTTCCCCATGCTATCTGAGACTTCTCAAGACCACAGAAACTCAGGTTACTTATCGGGCAAATTGTATGGTGGGGTGGGTGGCAAATCCAACTTTGTCTTTTTACATGATAAAAAATTTGTGTCCTATTCTCTCCCATTCAATGAGTCTAACCTTATTATTTTATTATTAGTCATTAACCATGGGGATATCCCTTTTTAAATTTATGTATTCCACTTATCAAGTGCCGCCATCAACCACCAGTACAGCAGTTACCAAACTTTGATAACTGTCCGAAATAAGCAACAGTCAAATAAGCAATGAACATGTGATTGCTGGCTTCTGGTGGACCGAATCTGTTTGACTCTCATTAGTCTTCATCAGCCAGAGATCTCCAGGCATGGAAGGGCCACTGATGATAACTGCTCTTGTAATAAATGATGCTACATGCATTTCATACTTTATCATCCCAAATGGCCTCTCGGGGGTACACAGAAGTCACATAAACAGGAATGCCCCACACTTTGCTGACTCATTATCTCTCACCAACAGGATGTCGGCGCTCCTTTCCCCACCCCAAGAAATGGAACAGTTATTTCTAGGTGTTTCTCAAATGTGGTTAGGATCAAGTTCTGCTCTTGTGTCCTCATTAGCCTATTCTCTACCAGCGATTGCTGGTGAAATCAACTGCAAGAAGAGCACTACCCTGCTGGGCACGCCGCAGCCAAGCTCAGGGACAGTATTCTTGTACAGAAACAGAGAGAATCACCCTGGGTGCAACTGAGTGCAACTAGCCCAGAAGCAGCACAGCTCGACTTGGGCTCAGCTGCCACTGGCACCCTGTCTAGTATGTCACAGCCTGGGACCAGTCAGGGTCACACCGACCGTGTTCCCCACCCCCACCCTGTCCTCTTCTTTCTCATCTCTGCCTTTGGTGGCCACTCAGCAACCTCCTACCACCTGTCTCCTGTAGGTATAAAAAGAAACCCAGAAAAAAAAGAAGCACAACTAAAACTCAGATGCAAATGAATTCTTTGAAAGAGAGAGAGAGAGAGAGAGAGTTGGTCACTTAGTTGTTCAGGGACATCCAGGAGACCCTGTGACACATCTTGTTTGTTCTAAGTAAACGTCTCATTCAAAGAACTCACCAGATAAAATATTCTCTGTCTAAAAAGAACTGAAATTACTAAAATTAAGTGTATGTTTATATGGTGCTTGGCTTAAACTGCTGTCTTGACAATGAGGTGGGAGGGACATGTGAGCGACACCCACATATCCTGCAACTTTTCCTCGGGCCCAGGTTCATCCTCCAAGGCTGAGGCTTGGGTCTTCATGCAAGTCAGGCCCTGGCTGTCAACCGGCCTCTGTTTGAAAATGTATCCTGGGGCGCCTGGGTGGCTCATTCGGATAAGCACCCGACTTCGGCTCAGGTCATGATCTCACAGTTTGTGAGTTCCAGGGCCGCATGGGGCTCTGTGCTGACAGCTCAGAGCCTGGAGCTTGCTTCAGATTCTGTGTCTCCATCTCTCTCTCTGCCCTTGCTTGTACTCTGTCTCTGTCTCTCAAAAATAAGTAAACATCTAAAAATTTCAAAAAAAAGAAAAGAAAATACATCCCTTCATTGCTCACTGGAATCACTACAAAGGAAAGAGAAATGGGCCTAAACTTCCCACCATTAATATATCTAACCATTTTTACCAGCACCCCTTTTTCTGAATGGCAGCAGGATTAAGCAGAGAAAATCCTGGATCAGAGTGAGACACCTTTTATTTTATTTTATTTTTTTATTTTTATTTTTTACAAATAGTTTATTGTCAAATTGGTTTCCACATAACACTCAGTGCTCATCCCCACAAGTGTCCTCCTCCATGCCCATCCCCCCCCCCCCATCCATCAGTCCTCAGTTTTTGTCAGCATTCAAGAGTCTCTCATGGTTTGCCTCTCTCCCTTTCCCCCACCATTTCCGCCCTTCTTCTCCCCCTTGGTCCTCCGTCAAGTTCCTCCTAATCCTCCTATACGTGCAAACATATGATATTTGTCCTTCTCTGCCTGACTTATTTCGCTCAGCATAACACCCTCAAGGTCCATCCATGTTGCTACACATGGCCAGATTTCATTGTTTCTCACTGCCATGTAGTATTCCATGGTATAGATAAACCACATCTTCTTGATCCATTCATCTGTTGATGGACACTTAGGCTCTTTCCATGTTTTAGCTATTGTGGAGAGTGCTGCTATGAACATTGGGGTACACGTGCTCCTATGCCTCAGCATTTCTGTATCCCTTGGGTAAATTCCTAGCAGTGCTATTGCTGGGCCATAGGGGAGTTCTATTGTTAGTTTCCTGAGGAACCTCCACACTGTTTTCCAGAGGGGCTGTACCAGTTTACATTCCCACCCACAGTGTAGGAGGGTGCCCGTTTCTCCACATCCTCGCCGGCATCTAGAGTTCTCTGATTTGCTCATTTTAGCCACTCTGACTGGCGTGAGGTGGTATCTCAGTGTGGTTTTGATTTGTATTTCCCTGATGAGGAGGGATGCTGAGCATCATTTCATGTGTCTGTTGGCCATCTGGATGTCCTCTTTGGAGAAGTGTCTGTTCATGTCTTCTGCCCATTTCTTCACTGGGTTGTTTGTTTTTCGGGCGTGTAGTTTGGTGAGTTCCTTATAGATTCTGGATATTAACCCTTTATCTGATAGAGACACCTTTTATTTTATAAGTTCTCTACCAGGCAGGCTCAGCTTCTTGGCAACTCACTTAACCTTTTATACAAGGGTTGTCTCATTATTATAACAATACCTACTTTTTGCTGAGCATGGACTATATACCAGGCACTGTACCAGGCACATCATTTAAATTATCTTTTAAATTTAATGTATATAAATTCTATGAAGAATATATTAACCCTATGTTGCAGCTGAGTAAAACTTAGCATCACAGCAGCTAAGAGAGTGAGTGCTTGATAAATGTGTATGTGACTACAAATCTAGCTCCTTCCACCATAATTACTGTGCACTGAAGATATTGGGCCATATGGTTTACAGTCAAGGCTACCCGGGCCCTTATGTGCTGTCAAAGGTGGTAAAAGGGATCTTTAAGTTATCCTGATACTTCAAGAAACTTGAAGAGAAATCATATGTTTCCCCAAGATAAGGCTACAAGCCTAACCCAAAGTGTCAACTTTTTCACTTTGGCCTAAGACAAGTTAATTCAGGGGCATCTGGGTGGCTCAGTCGGTTAAGCGTCTGACTTTGACTCAGGTCATGATCTCTCGGCTCGTGAGTTTGAGCCCCTCATCCAGCTCTGTGCTGACAGCTCAGAGCCTGGAGCCTGCCTCGGATTCTGTGTCTCCCTCTCTCTCTCCTCCTCCCCTGCTCATGCTCTGTCTCTCTCTCTCTCTCTCTCTCTCTCTCAAATAAACATTTAAAAAAAAGATAAGTTAATTCATAGTAGCCATTCTGTAATTTCCTTAATTAAAGTAGGAAACAAAATAATTACTTAGTAAACACAGTTTATAAATAACTAAAATCTATTAGAACACAAATTTCCTAGTACAGAAGCTTCTTCAAAAGACTTGACTTTTCACTCGTCCTGAGGCACGGCCTCCAAAATAGTGGAAACAAACAAATATGGTTCCCCTTGTCTCTGAGCTTAAAGTCTCGAAGAGAGACACTAGTAAGGAACTCCACATCACTGTGGACATGTTAGGAGAGAGCAGGTACACAGCTTGGTGGGAACACACAGGAGAGCCACGCGGCTTCCTGAAGGGAAAGGCATCTGTCAGTGAGTTTACTAGCTGAGGGGGGAGGGGAGGTGGAAGCGAGGCAAAGGAAAAATTCCCAAGTGAAGACCAGGAACCAGAAAGAATTTAGCACAGTTGGGATTTTGAAAGTAGTTGCAGTGGCACAGAGAAGACCAGAACCAAGTGGGACAGGGGAGAATGGCAAGACAGGAGGCTGGAGGAGGGGAAGGGGCCAGGTCAAAAGAGCTGTGGAGACCCAGGGAGGGACTGTGGCTTTATCCCGTAGGCAGTGAAGGCTTTAAGCCTGAGTGGCATGCTGAGCTTTACATTTCAGAAAAGTCACTCAGGTGGTTCGTGTGAAAACAGGTTGAAGGCCGCAAGACTGGTGGGGAAGCACCAGTGGAGCGGGTAGATAAGAACACTATCGAAAAGTCAGAATTGGCGTGATTCGCTTCTAAGTTTAATGTATACATTAGGGAGCCTTCAGCGGAAAGAGATATTCACTGAAGCAGGGAGAGAGAGACTGAGATGAAGACCAAAAAGGACCTGAGGCAGAAGCCTAAGGGACCCTAACACATAAAAATGGATACAGAAATGATAGCCCCGGAAGTGACTGAGAAGGAAAGGCACAGAGTACCCAGGAGGGAGAGTCTCGCAAAGGCCAGGAAAGAGCCTTTTTTATGAAAAAGTGGTCAACAATGTCAAATGCAGCCAGGAACACCAGAAACATCCATGCACTTGATAACAGCAGTCACCCGGGACCCAGAGGCAAGCAGGTACAGTGGACTAGTGAGGGTAGAAGTCAGAGTTCTCAAGACTGCGGAATGATGGGGCAGTAAGAGTATTGAGGCAGGGAGGTTCAAAACTCTTGAGAAACTGGCGTGTGAAGGAGATGAGAGGTATGGGGCTGTATCTAGAGACGGAGTGAGGAGGCATTTGTGTAGGTGCCTTATTATTGTTTGCTTAGTGACGGAGACTTGGGTAAGTGCCAACGGAAAGGAGCCAGCCCAACAGGGGAGACTGACGCTGAGAGAGTGGATTATCTACTGAGTGAAGCTGAGGTGGGGTAAGGACGCACACTACCCATGGAGAGGTTGTCTGCAAACAGTGAGAGGCCCTCTTCCACCATATCAGGACCAAGGGAGAAAATATAAGTTTTTAGATCGCTGGGAAGAATTAGAGGAAGTTCTTATCTATTGGTTTCTTCCCTTCCCTTCCCTTTCTTTCCTTCCCTTTTCTTTTTTTCTTTTCTCTTTTCTTTTCTTATTAGGAAGTTATGTGATCTGCTGAAAATGAGGGAGGATTCTGTAAGGTTTTAAGTTTGAAGAGTGTGAAGAAAGCTTGAAAACAGAAAAAAGAGAAAGCTCATCAGTAAATAGAGGATCGCCAGGCAGACTGAAGCTGGAGATCATAAAATCACAGTACTACCGAATCTGCCCAGATTTTTGATTCATCTCCTTATCTGCCTGGAATCTTTGTCCACCAGCGGCCTTCCTAGTTTCCAGAAGAAAGGTGGCACCCACTATACAGTCAGAACAGATAGGGCCCCTGGAAAGGCCAAGCATGATAGCCCTCACCTGCATTTCCTCTCCTCCCCTTGCCATTCATGCAAGTGGACAGACGCACTGCGCCTGTCAGTGTGAGAGGTAAAATTTGTCTCCCCTGGTTTCCACCCACAACACTTTACTCAGTCCATTTGTCCATTCATTGGCTAGCCCAGCAACATTTATTGCACATCTACTATGTCCCAGTCACAGCACTGGGATACTGGTAAACAAGACATGCCCCACCCCCCCCAATCATAACTATTCCAGGTTGGAACTGAGTTCCACAAACAGAATTACAATGTACTCCAAGAGTAGTTAAAGAGCACAGATGTGCTTCTGGAGCACAGAAGAGAGAGTAACTGAAAAGAAGAAACTTTATCACATTTTGTGTCACCCTCAAGCAGTCTTAATGGTTACTCCCAAACTAAAATACCTATGTATAAAACAAGAATTTTGGGGGTGCCTCAATCAGTTAAGTGACCGATTCAGAGTGTGTGTGTGAGCAGGGAAGGGGCAGAGAGAGGGAGAGAGAGAATTCTAAGCAGTATCTGCCCTGTCAGCACAGAGCCAAATGCACGGCTCTAATCCACATGCCGTGAGATCATGACCTGAGCCGAAATCAAGAGTCAGATGCTTAACTGACTGAGCCACCCAGGTGCCCAAGTGACTGAGTCTTGATTTTGGTTCAGGTCATGACCTCACATTAGTGAATTTGAGCCCCGTGAAGAGCTGCACACTCTCTGTGCAGATCCGGCTTGGGATTCTCTCTTTCTGTCCCTCCTCTGCTTGCATTCATTCTCTCTCTCTCTCTCTCAAAATAAATAAACAAACCTAAAAAAAGAATTTGGGGGGTGCCGGACTCACTCAGTGGAAAGAGCATGCAACTCTTGATCTCAGAGTCATGAGTTTGAGCCCCACATTGGGTATAGAGATTACTTTTTAAAAAGAAAAGAAGAATTTTTAATTTTATTTATTTATTTATTTATGAAAGAAAAGGGGGGCAGGGAGAGGAGCAAAGGTAGAGAAAGAGAATCTTAAGCAGGTTCCTTGCTCAGCATGGAGCCTGACACAGGGCTTGATCCCACCACTGTGAGATCATGACCTGAGCTGAAATCAAGAGTCAGATGCTCAACTGACTGAGCCACTCAGCTGCCTCATACAGAAATTTTTTTTAAAGACATGTAGACAAAGTTAACACCTTTTGTTTTTAATAAGGTGTTTAAAGATCACGCAATTGATGGAGAAACCTTGCCATTACTCACAGAGGAGCATCTTCGAAGTACTCTGGGATTAAAACTAGGGCCAGCACTAAAGATTCAGTCGCAGGTACGGTGAGTTCTCATAACTAAATATGTATTAATGATATGAGGCTTAAGAGAAATATGTTACTTTCCTCCTATCGTAATATGCACAGTACCCATTTAACCTCTTTATTAAGCTTTGCCCCTCTGTGGTGGGGACATGATAGAAGCGAGGGAACCTGAGAGCTTTGGGTGGGGCAGTGGTACCCATTCTTAGCTATGGCTGGGAAGGACAAAGCAATGATGCGCTAGTGAATGTTTAACAACTAGTTCTCTTTAAAAAACAAAATGAACCCTGATTTGTAGCATTTGTTAATTTCTGTAGTGTAAATACTCCCACGATGGCTGACAAATGCCTAATGTCATGTTCCTGAGTTCAGAGTTGGGGATACATGCCTAGAAGTGCCCCCTTTTAGAGTATGTTCACCATATGGATGGACATAAATGACCTCAGGGGCAAAGATAATAATTAATAGTAAAATAATTAGGTAAAAACAAGGAGTGAGGAGTTTCAAGTATTGATTACTCGAGTTTTCACTATAATGTATTTAATTGTAAGTTTATATAATTCAATTTTTAATAAACATTTAACAACTGGCTTGCAAACTTCCAGAAAATGTAACAATTGGTTCTTGAGACTGGATTAAGCCAACTCCAGTTCATGACTTCTCACCATCTCTACTGCTTCATTCAGGACAAAAGTACCAGTATCTCTCACTAGATTACTGCTATAGCCTTCTAACTGTCTGCCCTGCTCTGCCTTTGCCCTCCCAGTGCCTGTGCACCAAACAGTTCAGGATGATCCTTCTAATACATGAGACAGATCATGTCACTCTTTGGCTCAAATGTCTGCAATAGCTCCCTGTTTCCTTCAGAGTAAGAACCAAAAGTTTATATTATTTATGCTCCTCTCCACCCACCACTATCCTTACCTTCCTGACTCCATCTTCTACTTATCTCCCCTCTACTCCACACCCTCCAGCCCCCAGTTACTGCTTTTGACGACTTACCTCTGGATGCTGCTTGAACTCATAGGCAAGCTCCACCTAAGGGCCATTCCCTCTGCCTGGGGTGCTCTTCCCCTGATATTTTCATGCTTTGTTCCCTCACCTCCTTCATCTTTGCTCCATTATATCTTCTTAACGAAACTTGCTCTGATTCTCCTATTTAAAATTATACCCAGCCCAGCATCCATGCACACTTCTGCTATTCCTTTTCTGTTCTTCTTTTCTTCCCCAATAACACCTATCATCTTCAATCATACAAGGCAACACATTTATTATATCCATGTTTATTGTTGATTCCCCCTTCAACCCACTTGAATATAAACTCCATGAGAGCACAGATCTTTATCTGTTTTGTTGACTAATGTATCTTTAGAGTATAGAAGACTCATAATAGGTCAAAAATTACTTGTAGAAAGAGTGAGTTTCCTAAAAGTGAAACCAAAAAGGATCAACGAATTCTTTTCAACATTGTTTTTAGGGTACATGTTTATGCAAAGAACAATGGGATTTCAAGATGTCCTTCAAAAACTGTTTTTATCTGCCAAAAACGTTTAGGGTAAAGAAGTGCTTTGTTTTTATTTTATTTATTTTATTTTTTAAAAATATTTTTATTTGTTTCTCAGAGAAAGAGAGGCAGTATGAGCTGGGGAGGGTCAGAGAGAGAGGGAGATACAGAATCTGAAGCAGGTTCTGAGCTAGCTGTCAGCACAGAGCCTGATGCAGGGCTCGAATCCACGAACCGTGAGATCATGACCTGAGCTGAAGTCGGATGCTTAACCGACTGAGCCACCCAGGTGCCCCAGAAGTTCTTTATTTTTAATGTAAATACTTTAATGTTTCCATTGGTATTCTTTTTTTTTCAACTTCTTATTTTGGAATAGTTTAAATATAGAAAATTTGCAAAGATAGTGCAGAGAGTTCACCCAGCTTTTCTTGAGGTTAACCTCTTACATAATGTGGCACACTTGTCAAAACTAAGAAATTAACATTGTTACAATATGGCATTCACTTTTAAATAATTTATTTTACTTTAGTGAGGAAACTATATCTCTTGGCATTCTGATGACACTGCATGGTTTATTTTCAAATCTGATTTCTTTGGCTTTAATTTATCACTTTAGGGCTTTTTTTTTTCTGACTTAACAATGTGGCTGACTCTAAGTCATTCCTTTCCCTTTTTGAGTATAGTTGGCATACAGTGTTACATTCTCCAAGTCAATCTTCATCTTCTTCTCACTTGCCATTAATGTTAAACCCGAAATCATTTTCACAAGGCTGTAGTCATTTCCTGTGCTCTCACCTAAAGGGTATAAGTAACTCCATGGAGCCCAACTGAGCTCTGAAGTCCAGGCTCCATCTGCCTGCTCCCACACAAGCTGTGGGGGAAGGTCTCGACCTCCAAAATGGGAAGCAGAGGCAAAATTCCGTGACAGTGAGCCCTGTTGAGAAGAAGGAAACCCACCCAGAAGACCAGAAACTTAGCAGGTGGACCTGAACGGGGCATATGAGGAAAGACAGAGGAGAGGAAATAGTTACTGGAATCTGAGAACCCAGATATGATTAGAATGGAGGAAGTTGGGTTTAAGCTATGGCAATGTGAACGGCATGGAAATCTCCTGGGTCCCATGGAGAGTTAGGTTTGTGTAGGAGCCCAACGGTTACTACCGGGGCACGGAGGTCCAAAGCAGCAGTGTTTACATCTCAACACTAACCCAACTTAAAGCCAGCTGCGTTTCAGCCTCGGCTTGGAGAAGTGCCTGTTGGGCATTGGTAAAGGTCGAGTGGGGTGTCTGTGCGATCTGTTGTGGAACCACTGGAAAGGGGTGAGGTGAAGTAAACCCAGAGTGAAATAATTGTGTACACAGATGAACCACAGCAGACCCAGACCTGGGAATGGTAATTACAAGGTTACTGCCACCTTGATACCCAGTTTTACAGTAACAAACACTATATGTTCCTGAGAGAAACAAAAAGCCCCCACGTCCTAGAACTGTGTCCCTCACAACTATCTAGATGCCCCATTCCGGAAATTACCTCCACTTCCCTGCCATCTGTGGCTAAGCAGAGGATGCTGGGTTATTCAAAGAAGCTTTAGACTTAATTGCTATAATCATTTTGTCTTCAAAGGTATCTCAGCATGTGGAAAGTATGTTGTATAAGAAAAGTCTATCACTTTCTACCCATACAAAACAACCATTTGATCAACGAGCAGATACATCCTCTCTTTTGGATTTTAATTCCTGGGGTGATACACTGGACGTTCCTTGTTCCCAGGATGTAACGATTCCTAAATGAATCGAACGAGATAGCGGGAGAAATTAAAACCCTCAAGGAGCAAGAACAGTCTTAATCAGTTTTCCAAAGAGTCCAGGACATTCGGAGGGCGTGTGAGGGTTTCCCAGGATGAGATGGAAAGCTGGGCGGAAGAGAAAGCCGGCCTTCCTATGGCCCTTAGAGGAGGCCTTGCCCAAGAGGCTTCCTTATGTGACCTCAGCCCAAAGTGGCTGGAGGTACATCCTCAGAAGCATTTGCAAACACCGAAAGAGCTACAGTGGGATAATTCCATAAGGAAATCTCTGAAGAAGCCAAAAGAACCAATATTGAAAAAAAAAAAATGAGTTCCTTATCTCTTGTCACCCATTTCCCATCCCCCAACCCAGAGAGAACAAGGCAATCCCGTGGAGTTCAAAGGATATAGAAGAAAAAGTGGTGAAGTACAAAAACGAGAGAGAGAAGCTGACCTCAAGGCCTCCACTTTTTCTCATTTCAGGCTTCCAGGCTGAAGAAGGCCCAAGCCAGGGAAGAACGGAAGCTTTGGCCTTCCAGCTCAGAGTGACAGTTTTTTAGCATTTTCTTTCTGACATGAAATTATGTTATGACTTAAAATAGCTCCTGATTATCTGAGAGGGAGATGAAAAGTAACAGTACCCACCTCAGATTTCCCCCGAAGGGTGGGGGTAGAGTTGTCTCTGCAAAGCAGGTTTGCATTGGCTGGAGGGAGGAGAGACAAAAGTGGTTTTCCACTTGTCCCCAGGGAATCCCTCTCAACTTCACATTTAACAGAAAGCCTCTGAAAAGATACACAAGAAACAGCTAAGAGTTTGCCCAAGGAAGGGACTGGCAACAGGGGCGTGAAGGAAACTTACTACCTACCCTCTGGTACATTTTAAATGTCCAACGCTGAGAATGCATTCTCTCTTTTTTAAATTTACATTTAAAATGAAGAAACTATAGCAGGCAGCCTCGAACATAGCCCCCAGTGATCCCTGCTTCCTGGTCCTCCTGCCCGCGTGTGGCTGGACTTACTGACTCTTTTCTAGTGAACGTAATATGAGAGACAAGATGGATGTCATGCTGTGGTTCTTCTGTCTGGGAGGCTCTTTCTCTCTGGAATCCCTGCTCTCGAAGCCAGCTTCTTTGGGTCCAGGCAGCCCTGCAGAGAGGCCCGAGTGATAGAACAAATCTTCTGAGGCCTGAACCTGATCGTGGCTCCTTCCCAGTGAAGCCTTGAGATGACTACACAGACAGCTCCTGCCTACAGCTTGATGGAGACCCTGAACAGAGCGCCACTAAGCCGCTCCTGGATTCCTGACCCACAGAAACTATGCAGAATAATAAATGTGTTGTTTTCAGCCATGAAGTTTTGGAGTAACGTATTTCACAGCAACAGATAACTAAAACAAACAAATAAATTGCATTGCTCAACACGTACAGGCTGGTACCCACATTCACTTTTTGATTTGGAAGGTACGTTTTTGAAGTTATTTCTCTACAAGCCAGGGTGATGTCACCGGGCTTTGCTTTCTTTCACTTTTAATCTGAAAACAGTAGGGCTTTTTGCCAACAGAAAATTATATTGTACCCTCAAATATGCTTGTGACTTGCTGATTTACTTTCTATGGAGAGAGAGAGAGAGACTGAGGAGGGAGAGAAAGAAAAAGAAGAAGAATCCCGGCAAATTTCAAAATTGTACGAAGTTTTGTTCAACTGTTACAAGTCTCAGTGCACAGAAGTTTCACAAGATGCCAAATGTGAGTTAACAGATGTTATGGTGGAGGATAAAAAGGAAAGCATAATTAATATTTCTGGGGGCAAAGGGATCATGTGGTTCAATCCATATGACAGTTTTGAACTTCTTGTCCCTGCTAAATGAGTCAATTGAGCTGGAACTGATTCACTTGAACAGATGTGCCTCAACGTCGCACTGAGGAAAAGTGTGCTGACGTGCTTTCCTGGCATGTACTATTACCAAAAAAAGCACTGTGCTTAATCTTAGATCCATGCATAAAAAAAGAAGCAGAGGACGCAGGTGAAGGAGGGTCTCAGCTCCCTGTACCTTTCTGGGGAAGAAGAGGAGTCTGGAGTTGCTTATTCACACTAAGCTTGATTTCTTTCCAGATGAATGACACGCCGGGGTACTTTTTAACAACAAACCTGCTTTAGAGACAGAAATGGTATTGGGCAATGAAATTTTCACTCAAATTATCATATAGAAATAGTGTTTAACTTTTCTGCAAATACTACTTTAGTTTTGAGCATAGAACAAAGGCCAGCAAGCAAAAGACGTCTCTCTTATGTTTGAAAACCAATCACAATGAAACTGTGTTTGCTAAATAGGATCTTCAACTTGTAATATTCTGTATAGACAGATTGAATAAGCATCCACATGATGGAGTGCTATGCAACTGTTTCTATGATGGAAGTATTTATTACAGCTCTTAAAAGGCAAAAATAGAATTTGCATTAAATCATTTTGCAGCCCTGAAAAATAAGATCTAGATGATGATCATGAATGACTGCTAACATCACAAATAAGGAAACAACCAGGCATTACACGCCTCCTTGCGGAAGTCCATAACAAAATCCAAACTGTGGGAAACTGCATGGTAGAAACTGTTTAATAAGTGTAAAGTAGAAATGACCTGATTATCTTCAACAGACACATTGCAAAGAAAAACAGAGAGGAAAAAGGAAAATCAATACCTTAAAAGATGCTAATGATTCATATCACCTAGATGTAAACATTCCGGAAACAGGTAGTGATGATGGTCGTACAACATTGTGAATGTAATCAATGCCACTTAATTGTACACTTAAAAATACTTTAAATCACACATTTTGTGAATATATATACATATGGAGAGAGAGAGAGATTTCCACAAAAAAATTGTTTCAAGATTCAAATCACCCAATACAATTATTTGGATGCCTACTGAATGCACTATAAACAAATTAAGTAATTGGGGAAATTTGAACACAGAAAAATTCAGTGCTATTGAAGAATTGTTACCTTTTTTAGATGCGATCATAATACTGTGAAGGTTTTTGTTTTGTTTTGTTTTTTGTTTTTTTGTTTTTGTGGTAGGAACATTTAACATCTCCTCTTAACAAAATCTCAAGTGCACAGTATAATATTGTCATTTATGGCCATATTGTTGGCCATATTGTTGGCCATTATATAGCAGGTCTCTAGAACATTTTTAAAAATTCACCTCTTTTTTAAAGACTTCCTATCTTTTAGAAACATATACTAAAACATGTACAGATAAAATGATACATGTTGGATCTGGGGTTTGATTTTACCTTAACTACAACATTACCCACTTATTATTTTATGGAGGCTGGCAGAATACTCAAGACTCTTGAGTCAGAGACAAAGGACTTTACTACTCACGACACAACAAGCAGCCCACACATTAGTATATTTGTGTTGGTTTTCCTTGCTCTCAAGTGCCACAGGGATAACAAAGATGGGCCTAGAGATTGCCTGTACATGTAGCATCTTGCATCCCGGCTGAGCGGCACTGAGCTTGGGGACCCACTAATTTTGCAGCAAGCAGTAAGCAGGCTTGCTCTTTGGGCTAGCGATGGAATGTTGGAGGCGAGTGGGGAAGAGATGTTATCTCATTTCTTAAGGTTACCAGTAAATGATTAACCCTGAAAAATGGTCCCGGTGAAAGAACAGTCAGGATCTTGCAGTCTTGGCCCACCCGGAAAGATCTGTAGGAACAAAGGAGGCCTGGAAAAGAATGTCTCTTCCAACATATCATGCCATGGATTTGCTTCAAAAAATCCATTGAGAAGAGGGGAGGATTAGTGAATCGGTGGGATTATAGGTGAAAAAACTTTGGCCATGAGTTGATACTTGTTGAAGCTGGGTTATGAGTACATGAGGGTTCACTATGCTATTCACTCTTCTTTTATGTAGTTTGAAATTTTTCCATAATAGAAGTTTTTTTAAAAAATGTATTACTCAAGAGTTATCGTATACAATATGTGTGGCTTTCTAATATTTTCCAATAGAATATTCAAAAATACATATTTACTACTTAAAATCTATGGGATATTTATGGGGCACCTGGGTGGCTTAGTTAGTTGAGCACTGACTTTGGCTCAGGTCATGACCTCATTGTTTGTAGGTTCAAGCCCTGCATTGGGTTCTGTGCTGACAGCTTGGAGCCTGTAGCCTGCTTCAGTTTCTGAGTCTCCCTCTCTCTCTGCCCCTCTCCTGCTCATTCTCTGTCTCTCAAAAATAAATAAAGTGTACAAAAAGTTTAATGAAAATAAAAAATAAATAAAATCTGAGGAATATTTTGTTTTCCATTAATACTAAGAGAATACTTCAAGCAAATGCAGTTACTCATGATAGTAAATATTTACATTGTAATTTTATTATAGCTATATGAAAAGTCTGTTTTATAGAGAGTTGTAGGCAATTTACTGTACTTGTCCATCCTGTCCTGAGGAAAATAAATCTCTCTTCACAGAAGCCAAAAATACAAGGTCTGAGGTCTTTGATATATCTGCTAATAGTCACAAGATATCATTGTGCAGCCATGAGAAGTAATCTCTCCAGAAGTTAATAGTTCACCTAACATCACTAGGTGTCATTTTGAAAAAATCTGAATGCTTTTAGGCTGTGCACATTTAAGACACAAAATGCATTTCTAATATATTTCACCACTACCCCTTTGGTTCATTCCCTACTAGGTAATTTTATTTTGCTAGCTAGAGTGACCATAAAAGGTTTATTGACTGATTATTACATTGAATTCAATGCTTACTTGCTTTTATTCTGCTAAGAAGTCATTCTCATCAAATAAAACATAAAAGCAAGAGTTGCAAACACCTTGTTACTATAAAAAAAAGGTTTACCACCTCTTGTCTTAGTCGGTCTGAGCCACTATAATAAAATGATACAGACTGAGTGGCTGACAAACAAAAGAAATTTATTTCTCACAAGCCCAAGGCTGGAAGTCCAAGATCCAGGTGCCAGCATGGTCAGCTTCTAGTGA